CGTTCGATTATGGCAGCCAGTGCCTCGATGGACGCCATGCAGCAGCTCGAGCAGGACATGAGACGATGACGATTCGGATGCCCGATGAGTGACGACAGTCCCAGGACGCGATGACAGTTCCCGACAGCTCCGACAGCTCCCGACAGCTCCGACTCTGGGAGCGACTCGGGCGACGATGGGCCCGGACGGCGGCGACAGGCAGGCTGCACCGCGGCCAAAGGCGAGCCAGACATTTGGCAAGCGCAGCGGTGGCGTCCCTGAGGCGGGACCCCGCGTAGGCCATGTCGGCATCGACAGTGCAGCCCACGATGAAAACGAGAGTGCAGGCAGCTCTGACGATGAGTCGGATGGCGGCTTGGATACCGCTTCGATTGCTACATTGTACGCCGGGTCGGATGCGGCCAACCCCATCCGTCTGGACGACGATGAGGCCGAGAACAACCATCGCAGCGTCAGTCTCGGCCCGCCCTCGACGATGCACCATGCCGCGGCACTGGCGATGCGCCCTCCGCCTGGTGCAGCTGTTTCACGGCGGTCCTCCTCGGTGACCGCTTCCACCGTGTCTGGGGCATCGTCGGGCTCGCTGTTCGTCCCGGGATCAGGCATGCAGCGACGCGCGCGCCTCATGCGGGCGCAGACGCAGGAGACGACGGCCAGCGACTTTCACGCTCGCGTCGCGGAGCAGATTGGAGGCGGGCGGGTGACTAGTCACGAGGTGCGGTCGCAACTGGACCTCGGCGCCGTGGTCGATCTCACGGCAGGCAGTGACGACGAGGACGCGGACGAGAGCAGCTCTGACGACATGTCAGGTCGGCGAACTGATGATTCTCCAGGCCGAACTGACTCTACAGAGGTTGATTCGATGGAGGGCGACGATGAAGACGATGGTGGAGGTGCCCATGGCGACCATTCGCCTCGGCGTCACCCCCGGGTCGGCGACAAACGTCCTGTGGATGCTGCTGGCAATGTCCACTCGCCTCGGCGTCACCCCCAGGTCGGCGACAAACGTCCTGTGGACGCTGCTGGTAACATCCACTCGCCCCGGGACCATCCCCAGGTCGGCGACAAGCGTCCTGTGGATGCTGATGGTGTCGCTCACTCGCCGTCGAAGAGACTGCGGTCGGAATGGTGAGGGAGTGGGTTCTGAAATTTGCCTCGGACGTAGGCGTTATGGGTTTTATACGTGCTGGAGATGGGTTCTTCACGGCGGCGGACCTGCTTTGGGCGACAGGGGACTATGTCCTGGGATGGGGCGTGGTCGACATCTACGCCCATGGAGGGCTATTTATTGACAGGTTTGATTTATTGGGTAGGCGTCGCATATTGATGGACACGGATATGGAGGGTGGGAAATTCACTTTCTGCATACAAGGCGGATCAATTCTGGGTGTGCTTGATGTTGGTGATAAGTTTTGCTGTGAAAGGGAAGGGAGCACTCGGATGATGGTCGTTGCAGTGTGCCGTAAAAGCATGGCAGAGGAGTACCGTAGATGCTGGGTTGAAGCTACGGTACGTAGCCAAGGGTCTTGGGCGTTGGAGGGGCTGTTGTTGCCTGTTGTTGCTCGTGGGCCGTTGCTGGGGCAAAATTATGTCATGAGAGGCCATCTTCACGGATCCCGCCAACCGCCACCATTCTATTCCACTATGCGTTGACCAACGCGACAAGATTCATGAACAGCAAGCAGCTGGATCTTGCGCCTTCCTATACCCAAACAACAACGCCTTGTGGCAGCTGAAGCAACTGCTGGTCTTGCTTGCTTTGATGAAGTACGTAACGAATGCCCCACAAACACACCATGGACCCCTCCGTCCCTGCATCGTCAACCACCAGCATGCCCATCGTCCACAAGGCAGGCACAAGGCACAAGGCACAAGGCTGACCCCCCATCCCCCCCCCCGCGCAGAAAACCAGGTGCCGGCTTTGCTTTCCAACCCCGAAACACCATTGCCTCCGAGGCCGAGCCCGACTTTTCCAACTCCCCTTGCCAGCCAGGGTCCAGCGAACAATCACCCCGCCATCACATCACCGTCCGTCCCATCATCATGGTCAACGAGCGAGCGCCCCCCAAGGGCCCAGCACGCCCGCTCCATCACAACCGAGAGGCCCAGCCCAGCGCCAGCCGCCCCGACAGGCCGGCCTCGTCAGACTTTGACCCCGATGCCTTGACCGCCCGCTTCGACGCCCTGCGCGTCACACACGGCGCCTCCCAAACCGCCCCGCAGCAGCAGCCCTCGCCAGCCGCCAACTCGGCCGCCAAGAGGGCGGAAAAGACAGGCCCTCCGCCCGTCAGGGCGCCGCCTCCGCCAGCCAGGGCGCCGCGCGACAAGCCCGCCGACAGCGATGACGCCCTGAGCGCCTTCTTCTCCGACCGCCGCGACCCCTTCGGCGCGCCCTCGGCGCAGGGCCGCGGCCACACCTTTGGCCACCCCACCAAGATGATGTCGTCCCTCAAGCAAAAGGCCCACGGCATCTTCAACGAGCGCAGGGCCCGCCCCGAACACCACAGGGAGGACAAGCACAGGATCAACGTCCCCTCGGTGCCCATCTACCAGGACCGCAAACCGGAACCCCTCAACCTCTTCCGCTCCATCGGGCCCGACGCCCACCCCGCCACGTACAAGGGGCCCGGCGGCGGGAGCTTTGGCGAGCCCGACTTCTACACCGACCCCACCAAAGCCACGTCGGACCTCAAGGCGCTGCTGGAAGGCGGCATGGACGAGGACGAGGACGAGGACGGGGCCCCAGAAGAGAAGAAGCAGAACAAGCCAGGAGACAACAAGGACGGCAAGGACAGCAAGGACGGCAAGGACGGCAAGGACGGCAAGGACGGCAAGGACGGTGCCCTCGAGGGTCTCCGGGTCAAGCTGCTGCCCCACCAGGTCGAGGGCGTCGAGTGGATGAAGGGCCGCGAGCTCGGCCCCGTCAAGAAGGGACGCGTGCCCAAGGGCGGCATCCTCGCCGACGACATGGGCCTCGGCAAGACGCTGCAGACCATCGCCCTCATCCTGAGCAACCAGAAGCCGCCCAAAGACGACAAGGAGAAGGGCTGGAAGAAGCACTTGGAAGGCGTCGAGAGGACGACGCTCGTCGTCGCGCCCCTGGCCTTGATCCGCCAGTGGGAGGCCGAGATCAAGGACAAGGTCGAGCGGTCCCACGGTCTCAAGGTGTGCGTGCACCACGGCCCGCAGCGGACCAAGCGCTTCCAGGACCTCGCCATGTACGACGTCGTCGTCACCACCTACCAGATCCTCGTCTCCGAGCACGGCCACTCGTCTGATGCCGAGACCGGCGTCAAGGCCGGCTGCTTCGGGCTGCACTGGTGGCGTGTCGTCCTTGACGAGGCCCACACCATCAAGAACCGCAATGCCAAATCCACAAAGGCCTGCTATGCGCTTCGTGCCGAGTACAGGTGGTGTCTGTCGGGCACGCCGATGCAGAACAACCTGGAGGAGCTGCAGTCCCTCATCAAATTCCTGCGCATCCGGCCCTACGACGACCTCGCCGAGTGGAAGGACCAGATCGAAAAGCCGCTGAAGAACGGCAAGGGGCACATCGCCATCCGCAGACTGCACAGCCTGCTCCGGTGCTTCATGAAGCGGCGCACAAAAGACATCCTCAAGGTCGACGGTGCCCTGAACCCCGGCGGCCAGCCCACCAAGGAGGGCGAGGAGTCGAGCACGGGCTTCAAGGTCACCGAGCGCAAGGTCGTCACGGTCGCCAGCAAGCTCTCGCCCGCCGAGCGCCGCTTCTACGACCGGCTCGAGGCCCGCACCGACGAGAGCCTCGAGCGCATGCAGGGCAACATGAACTACGCCAACGCCTTGGTGCTGCTGCTCCGCCTGCGCCAGGCCTGCAACCACCCCAAGCTGGTGGCGGGCAAGCTCGACAAGGACAAGGACGCTCTGTCGTCGGGGGACGCCTCGCAGAAGAACAACACGGGCGCCGACGTGGACTCGCTCGCCGACATGTTCGGCGGCATGGGCATCGTGGCCAAGACGTGCGGCATCTGCGGCCGCGACCTTCCCCGCGACGCGCACAAGACGGACCAGGACACGTGCCAGGAGTGTCTCGACGATCTGGCCTACTTTAACGAGAACGAGACGGCCAAGGACAAGAAGCCCAAGAGCAAAAAGGGCAAGGTCAAGAAGAGTGTCGAGACGGTCAAGGTTGCGTCACCCGGTCAAAGACGAAATCGCGAAGGCCAAGGAACCGTCGCACTGTGATCGACAGCGATGATGATGATGATGAAGAAGGAGAAGAGGAGGGCAGCTGGCTCGTCCCCGAGGATCAGCGAGGCCAACTGCGACTCGGTAAAGCGGGGGGGGAGAAGGATGAGAATTGCGAGGGCGGCGGCGAGTGGCTGGGCACCGAAGACTCGTTGCACGAGTCGTCCCGGGCAGACGAGAGCACGCAGCTGGACAGCTTCATCGTCGACGACGAAAAGCGAGCGGTCAAGGCCGAGGCAGGATCCGACTCTGAATCAGACGACAGCTTTGCGTCCGTGGCAGAAATTGCCTCCCAGGTCCGAGCCGAGAAGGAGGAGCGAACATCACAATCGGCAGCATCCAGCTCGGACGACGCCGACTCGCAGACGTCTTCGGACGAAGACACAGGCATTGACGAATCCGAACTGCAGTCGGACGACGACGCGCACGACCGGCCCGGCGGCCAGGCGACCCAGATTCTCGCCTCGGCCAAGATTCGACAAATGATGCAGATCCTGCACAAGGAGGTGCACGAACACAAGTTTATCATCTTCTCACAGTTCACGTCCATGATGGACCTCATCGAACCCTTCTTCCGCAAGGACGGGCTCAAGTTTACGCGCTACGACGGCGGCATGAAGAACGACGAACGCGAGGCGAGCCTCGACCGGCTCAGGAACGACAAGAAGACGCGCATCCTGCTGTGCAGTCTCAAGTGCGGCAGTCTGGGCCTGAACCTCACGGCCGCGACGCGCGTCATCATTGTCGAGCCGTTCTGGAACCCGGTGCGTGCCCCCTCCCTTTGCAGCAGACAGAACATGGCGGGCGAGTTGCTAACAGAGTGGCAGTTTGTCGAGGAGCAGGCCATTGACCGCGTCCACCGCCTGACGCAGACCATCGACGTCATCGTCTACCGCCTCATCGTCGAGGCGACGGTCGAGGACCGCATCCTCGCGCTGCAGGAGAAGAAGCGCCTGCTCGCCCAGACGGCCATCGAGGGCGGCATGAAGAAGGACGTCATGAAGTTTGGCCTCCGCGAGATGCTCGACCTGTTCCGCAGGGACAACCACGCCGCCGACGCCGCCGCCGCGCACGACGTCTCCGTCGCGAGCAGCCGCCGCGAGAGCGTCGAGCCCGAGTCCGAGGGCCGGAGGACCCTCGCGGCGGCCAGGAAGCAGAGGGCGACGCCGGAGCACGAGGTCTACGGACGACGGTGGTAAGAGATTTTGTCGCGTTGTTTTGTTGTCGTATCGCTTTGGGGGGGGCCTGAGACCATGATGGCAACGAGGATGAAGTACATGGAACATTGCGCAAACGATGTCGGGAATGAGGAATTACAGGGTTATGACACGAGGCGTCTAGGCGTTGGCACTAAACATTGTTCTGAATACACGACGATGGGTCGATGCGCTGCGGTAGGTCGGCGGTTTTTGATACACCAGGCTCCCCATCTCCGTTCTGCGTTGTGACTGCGACCGAAATGAGCAGCTGGCGTCCAGAGTACATCCGTAGCATTGCAAGATGGAAAACGTTGGCGTTCCGGAAAAAACAGGCTACTTGCCGAGATGACGGATGGGTTTAGGAAACGACATTGGGAAGTCCATGTCCTTTTTCAGCAAAACCACGTTGATTGCTTATCCAGCCCGCGGCAAAACGACTGGAGGAACAAAATGCCCCAGTATCTGACCTTGGAGGAAACCCGTATTAAGCCAAACTCCGGCTACATACATCACATGTCATGGGAAACCGCAGCCGTTTCGTCATGACCGTTGTCAAATGATTACTTCAACTACCAAAAGGTGGCAGCAGTCCGTCTGGGTCTGCGGATCTTTCCAAAAATGTCAAAAAAAGCCCCCAAGATCATGAGTGCAAGAATAAGAAAAAGCAACGTCAAAAGATCAAGGACTATGGTACAGACAATCATCGTCCCTCGTAAACGCAGGCCATGATACTGCTCGCCCACATGGTCCACATCGCTCGACCCTGGCCCCACAGCGGTGACGGCACCTTGTCATGCCGCAAAAGACGAATGCAACGCCAAATACCACATGAACAAGCCTGGCCATGCGAGCGCACTAAAGACGTCACTCCTAGTACACGCCAGGCTGGCGATAGTAATCACTTGGCGGCGCGCTAGGCCCCTCATTGGGCGGCGGTCCTCCAGGCGGCACATACGCCTTGTATTGGGGCTGCGGCGAGGTGCCCGTCTGGCTCGGTAGGCCCTGTCTGGCGTCGTATGCCGAGCCTGCCGGCTGTAGCGGAGCTGGCGCGGATGGAGGGGCGCCCGTGGGGATGGGCGGCGGCGCCTGAGAGGGAGCGCTTCCGTAGTGATCTTGACCGGGTGGTGCTGAAGGCGGTTGGTAGCTGTGGTACTGAGGCTGTGAGGGCTGGTGCTGCGGTGATTGCGGGGCGCCTTGACTGGTATTGTGTTGTTTGTACTGGTCATCGGGCGCGTAGTTGGTCGAAGTTGAATATGCTGCAGTCGAGTTGGGGTTGTGAGGTGCAATCGGGGAATCATAGACGGATGTGGCGAGTTCCTGGGCACCGTAGGTGCTCTGGCGTTGGTCAGGGGGGTGAGTATAGGAGCTGTAGGCATTCTGGGGCGGGGGAGGCGAAGTGTTGATGGGCTCGGGCGGTCTTCCGTTGGAGGGCAGACGAGGCGTCGGGTCACGGTGAGGATAGGAGGGCTGCGATCCAGGATGGCTGCCGTGCGAGGGGACCTCGGAACCTGCTACGTAGAAGGGCGCGGGGGTAGGCTGGCTCGGACGGTGCAAGTTGGGCGATGGACTGGACTGGGGAGGGTATTGCGGTTGGTCTATGTACAATGCTGTCAAAACTCATGGCTCGGCATGGCAGAGATCAAGGCAATTCACCTTGCGGTGCAGGAGTGTAGTATCTCTGCTCCTGCTGCTGGGGCAGACCCTGAGGGTGGCCTTGGGGATGGCCCTGGGGCGGCCCTTGAGGCACACCTTGGGGAGCGTAGCCACCAGGGCCTCCTGGAGCTTGCGGGGGCCCTCCTGGGTAGCCACCCTGTGCCGGTCGCATCGCGTACTGGTGGTAGCTGGGCTGAGGCGGGTGAGACATGGAGGACTCTAGCAGAGCCTCGTAATCGCGGCGCGCCTTGATGAACTTCTCGTTGAGCTGCGTAAAGTCGTCTGAAGCACACAAGGGTCAGCACATAGGATACCGGAACAGGCTCTGTGATGTACATACCCTTCTTCTGCGAGTACTTCTCAATGAGCTTGATCAATTTTGGCCGGATAGCGAGGGTCTGGTGGTAGAGTTTCTGGTTCCGGTCAGCGGCGCGATCATGAGCGGCCTCCTCTTCGCCAGACTTACCGAGATTTCCTCATTGTCCTCCTCCTTGGGTGCCGTGTTGGACGTGCTCAGCAGGGTGAGCAGCTTCTCAACATTCTTAATCTCAGCGAACACTTCAGCCTCCATCTGTGCCTCCCGCGCGAGCTCGTCCGGTGTCGGGTCGGTCAGCTTCTCGACGTAGTTGAGAGGAAAGATGCCGGTCTTGCCCTTGAGGGACCCGCGCCACCAATCCTTGTAGACGGATTCGAGGACCGCAATGACATCGCCCTTCTTGAATTCCAGCTCACCAGGCTCGGACGGCACAAAGTCAAAGAGCGCGCGCACTCTCGAGACGGTCGCCGCCGTGGTGCCGGCGGGAACGGGTGTCGACTGCTGCTGTAGGGGCTGGTGGCTTGCGCCAGGCGTGCCGGCGCCAGCGCCCGACGAGGAGGGCCCGGCGTTGCTGCTGCCCGGTTCGGGGCTCTTGCCCTTGCGTTCTTCATCCTGCAGAGACAGCTGCAGGGCCATCTGCAGCTCCTCCTCCTCCTTTCGGCGGTCGACGTCGGTGAGGCCCGTCTTCTGGGGGGCGGAAGGAGGCTGGAGTGTCGGGTTGGTCTGCTTCAGGCGGTAATAGGCATCGTACATGATGCCAAGCTCGGCGTCCTTGCTGAACATGTCGGACCAGTCCTTCATGCGCTCGAGGATCTTGGCCTTGACTTGGGTATGGGTGTTGCGGTCGTTGGCCAGCTTGAGAAGGGCGTCGGTGAAGGCGCGGCTGGAGAGTTCGCGGTGGATGGGCTTTCCACAGTTCTGACTCAGGGCGTTTGCGAGCTACTCTTCATCAGCACGAGGTTCCAAGGGGCTGCTGTGCGGCCATGGGCTATTTACCTCGAGAGTGTACAGCTGCACATTGGCGTTGCGGTGCGCCAACCGCTTGATCATGCTCTGGACGGCCTCCTTGGGGCCATTTGTGTCGGTCGTCACGCGATCACAGAGCTCCATGATGGCGCCCCAGTCCTCCGACGTGAGGTTCTCGTCGGTCGCCTTGGCTGTGGGCGGGGCAACAGGTCAGCAGCCGATACACCGAGACGGCGGGCGCGGAAGCGCGTGGGAACAAATAAACATACCGATGCCCTCATCGTAGGGGCCAGCGGCGGCAGCTCGAAACATGATGGTGGTTGGGCGAAGAAGAGAGGTGCAGCTTGGCGGGTTGTGGACTGAACAATGACCACGGTCGCTGCCTGGGCCGTATGGACTCTGCTGGCAAGCAGCAACCTCACGAGCTTGGGCGTTGTGGAACTCCTCGCTACTGTTTCGATGTTTTCCCAAGCTGACACGAACCTATTGCGAAATGCAAACAAGGTATGTCGCTGCAGAGGAGGGAAGGCAGAGAAGATGGATTATGGTAAAATGCAAAGGTAGGAGAAGAGACGTGGTTGTGGTAGGTAGGTAAAAGGCAGGCAGACGCAGCCTGGCAGCTGAGCCTCCCAGGAAGGCGGTCGCTGCTGGCTCGGTCTCGGGTTGGGGGTGGAACTGGACCTCGCCAGCTCGCATGCGCACCCGACTGTCCTTTCCTTCGTCGTCATCGCTGGGTCGGCGGGGGGAAGGAAGGAGGCTTGGTTCATTCGTCACAGCACCGCCACACCCGCCTCCGCTGCCGCCACACCTGACGCGGTCCCGCCACTGCCAACACGCCGTCCTCCTTGCTTCAGGAAGAGGAAGAGGAGGAGGAGGAGGGAGAGGAAACGTAGCGAATGGGATCTCTCTGGCTCTCCCTTTCCCGCAGTTATCATCGTACATGCATTCTTTCTATGTGCTGCTGCGTGTCAGACCCGTACGAACGGCCCGTCCTGGTCCGGTGCATGCCCTTTACCCCTCGCTGTCCACAATCCCACACTCCCCAGGTCAAACCACGCCCGACGCCGAGTCGCCGTCTCCTGGCGACTTATAAAATAAATATGAGAGAAGAAAAAAAAACCCCCAATGTCTGTCTCCCGCCATGAGATATGGAATGACATGCAAAATAAAAACACCCCCGAGGCACGCCGCTATGTGAGTGCGCATACACGTAGATCAAACTCCCTGCCGACGCCGACCGCGACAGTCCTTCATCCTAGAAACATTTTGGTGCAATGGATCAGCCCTGCCACCAGACGCGCGGGTCGCACAGTCTCTGCGAAGCGACGCACAACAACAGCCACGCGGGCAAGAGAGGACGGTACGACACCTCGCCAAACGGCTTTCACCATCCTCTGCGGGACACTCCGCGCGGCTCATACTCCGCACGGCTGCCCAGACCAGCCTGCCCGCCGCCTCGGGCCTCCTCCAGGCTGCGGCGTCCTTGCGGGTCCATCTCGGACATGTCGAAGAGGAGCGGCTCGTCGTCTTGGTTCTCTGTCTCGCCGCGCCCATAACGGCCAGTCGTTGACGCCGTGAAGCTCCCCCGCGACGACTGCGGCGGCGTCTGACCGCGGCCCGCCGGCGACATGGAAGCCATGCCGGTGTATCGCCGCCTGCCGAATGGCGAGCTCGAAGGCGCCGAGATGAGCCCGCCCGGCGGCTTGGAGCCATCAGACGAGCCCTGGTTCAGCATCTCGACAGACCCGACAGACCGGATCTGAGCTGCCGGTTGCAGCGACGAAGCGTCGTGCGCCGTGGCCGACTCACCCGTCTCAGCATGGCGGCCCAACAGCATACTCAGCGTTGGAGGCTCTCGATCCTCAGCCCCCAGGCTGATGCTTCTGTTGCCTCCAAAGGCAGCATCGCCATCGTCCTCTTCTGCCATGACGCGGTTCTTTTGCGCCACAGAGCTGGATCTGCGCTGGTGCGTCCCGAGCCGGGGGGAGATGGGAATATCGATCGCCGTCGTTCCATCCTGTGTCACCGTGTCCTCCCTGGCGAGCTCCGCTGCGCTCGTCGGCGGCGCGTTGGCTCGCGCACTCCTGCTTGAGCCATATCGAATGACCGAGTTCTCGCTGAGTCGCGACGGCACGGCAGGCGTGTGAGGAGTATGAGGCGAAAGCGGTTTGCCGGGAGAAGAGGAGAGGGACACAGAGGCCGGCGCCATCATGCTTGGCACGTTGGAAAGCTGCCGGCTTGAGGAACTGGAAGACCGCTGCATCTGAAGGGACGAGGTCATTGAATCCGTCAGCGCATTGTTCGAGTCCCTCATGGCGTGAAACTTGGACAGCTGGGCCACGGTCCTATTCGTGGCCGACTCCCCCCGCTTGGCTGGCTCAAAGCTCTTGAGCGTCTTCTTACTGTCCAAGGCTTTGAGAAAGTCGGAGATTTGGTCGTCGTCCGTCTGCAAGGAACCTGAACTAGCGTTGCCGCCGACCTCGGCGAGAAGGCCTGATCCAGGTTGCGCTGCGGACGAGGATAGGCTGCCTCGTCCACTGCTGCCCTGTTCATCGTCGCCAGCCTTGCTCTGTCCGCCAAATGAAAGCCTCCCCTTTCGGTGCGTGTGCGTGAAGCTGCTGCTGTACCGACTCGTGGACACCGGTCGCGGCGAGCCTACCAGGGTATCTCCGGAGGGGGGACCGCCGCGTAGCGAGGCAGGCATACCGGCCGTAAGGGACGTGCGATTCCTCGGTTGTGACAGTGCAGCGGCCACGCGAGAAGCTGAGCTTGGCGAGGCTGGCGATTCAGAGTCCAGTGTCCGTGGAATTGGTGAGCCAGAGAGGGAGCCGGCCTTGAAAGGCTGGAAAGATACAGACGGGCGCCTAACACCGCCTCCGGTGAGCCCTCGCATAGTCGGTCGCACAGGCAGCGAGTTGGGCGGATTCGGCTGGAAGCTGGCGGGCCTGGAGCCCGGCGGCGAGCTCGTGTCGGACCCCGGAGGCCTCACTGCCTTCAAGGCAGACATCGGGCTCGTACCCAAGGCTCCTTCGCCATGAAACGTGGACAGGCTGCCGTAGGTTTGGCGCAGCTCAGAGAGTCCCGTGCCGCGCGAGTGAGATGGCAGGGAGCCGATCTCGACATCATCGCGTCGGGTATGCGTGCGCTGCGGCATGGAGGGCTTGAAGAAATTCTCGTCCACGCCCATGAATCGCGAGCTGAGCAGAGACTCTGCATCATCAATGCGAAAGCTACTTTCGTTGCGGTAGGTAACCGATGCGACGAGGCGGCCAACTGGCACTTCAAGGTCGGCGAATAGATAATCAGTCACGACTTCGCCATGGCCATCATGTAACGGGTGCCTCAGGCGATCGATCCCGCGAGCGCTTGGGTCTCCGGCCAGAATGCGACATCTCGGCTCCAATGCAGGGTGAACACTCTTGTTCAGCGCCTGCTGAGACGTCTTCCACGCAGGAAGAACCCGTGCCGTGACATAAAGGGAGCGGAAGAAGACAATGATCTTCTTGTAGATGGTGGGTAGAATGGGACCGAATTCGTCGAGGCCAGTAGCGGAATTGACCTTAAGCTCGATGCGCCATCGTTCCAGCACGACGTCCGTATTTCGACGCATGACGCGGCTGGGGTTGTCGTCGCTTGAATCAGACGAGTTGAGAGCCTCCATGACGTCCCATCTCTTTCCATTTTCATCGACGATGACGAGACTCTGGCTAGACGTCAAGCGCGATGTGTCGAGGTAGGTTTCGATGATCAGCGGGGGCGGTCTGTTGT